TCACACCATGCCCATTTTACACAGCTTTCAGACAAACAAGGCAGAGCTATGCAGCCTCCACATCACAGCCTAAAATATCTGGCCCTAAAAAAATAAGATAGCTGTTTAACAGACCAATGGAACCAAACAATCCAGAAACAATCAACTATCCAGAAACAATAAAACAACACACACAGAAATCTATTCTAGAAAGATTATCTCTGAAAGACTACAAAGCATAAAATTATACAGAATACCACTGTTATGGTGTTAGATACAGATTTATGAAACAAGAACACATAGCTAAGTTTGAAAACTGAGTTCCATTTGCAGAAATGGAAGACAAATAGTCTAAAGGAAAGAATTCAAACCCAAAATATGTAAAGAAAAAAATTCTTAACTGATGACATTCATTTATTTATTTATTTATTTATTTATTTCAAAGGTCTTGGAAAAAATACTTGAAACCTAAGATTCTAACACAAGTGCTGGCTGAAGGGAGATTGATTCTAGGATCCACTCAAATCTATGGATGCTCAAGTCCCTTGCCTAAAAGGCCAGAGATTTACCTATAACCTCCACTTCCTGTATACTGTATCTCTAGATTACCAATAATAATTAAAAATAGCTTACACTACATTGGATGACAGAGGATGACAAGAAAAAAGTCAAATACAAATGAAGCCCATAATAAGAACTACTACAGTCCTACAACTTCGATTAAGGCTTGTACCTAATAGAAAAGTGCTGTGTTGTTACATGTAACAATATCAAGAAGACCGTCACAGCAGCAATCCTCATAATGAATCCAAAGTGAAAAGATGCAAATAACCCACATGGCATTGTCAACGATGGAACGGGTCGTAGCAGAACTGCTGAGCAGCGATGGTGGCGTGAACGTATCTGTACAGACTGTAGCTCTCAGCATAATAAGCCAGACAGAAGGGTTGACACTCTACAGCTGTACCAAGTTCAGGGTGTGGTGACACTCACTCTGAAGCCAAGACAGCAGGAAGACGACTACACGGTCTATGCCAGCTTCCGTTAGAGTGAATTCAAGCCTGGCTAAGTAGCAAGATTGAAAACAATGCCCCCAAACAAATAAAAACCATTCTTGGTAACAGAAACTGGATCAGTGGCTACACTGAAGGGCATGATTACCAGGAGGCAAACGGACAACCTTGGGAACTGGGAATATCTTGTGTTTTTCATTTCTGGTAGAAATGTGGTTGTAGTCCCTTAAGACATTCATTAGCTTCTTCACATTACATATTTAACGTCAATAAAAAACAGATTAAAGAAAAGAGGAAGAGTGGGAAGGAAGGGAAGGAGAAGGCAGGAAGGCTAGCTCTATGGGTAATGATGGGCATCACATGAGTGGTTACTGACTGCCTTTGGGCAGGGAAAGAATGTGACATTTTGTATAACATGTTCTTGGCCCTGAAGGGTTTAATGGAAAAATGGAAATACTAAGAGATTCCCAAACTCTAAAACCACTGTAATTATCCTCGTATCCAAACCACTGGGTAAGTACTTACTTACCACTTATGTTGGTACTACTTAATGCATGGCAGAGGAGAAACTAAGTACAAAGACAACAGAAAGGAACATCTGACAGATCTGCTGACTGGACCTCAGCTACTGTGGAAACCAGAATGAAGGACTGACCAATGTGTGCCATGAAATTTTGAGACTGGGTAACAGAACATTGGTAAAATTATAAATGGCTCAGACCTGCTGAGGCTGAGGTACCAGGCTCAAGAGTCTATGAGAGAAGGCCAAGGGGACTTTACAAAGAACACAAAAAACTTGCCCGTCTCCTCATCACCACCTGACAATTAGTAGTTGATAGGTTTTTTTGTTTGTTTGCTTTTGTTTTTTGAGACAGAGTTTGTCTGTATAGGCCTGGTTCTCCTGGACTTGCTCTGTAGACCAGGCTGGCCTGGAACTCACAGGAATCTACCTGCCTCTGCCTCTCTAGTGCTAGGATCAAAGGAGTACACCACAATAGCCTGGCTAGTAGTTGATATTTTTAGCTATATCTTTACCGGTCTGATTATTTGATGAATCAAAGACTTGAAATCAATTCAGTACGATCTCAAGGTAAGCATGTGCTCCAGGTTTACCGACCCTGAGATCCCCAGCTCATAGCTGGCCTTCACACCCCAGTAGAGCCAAGCCCACCTTTCTACTCACCCTGGCTCGCCGCTGCTTCACTTCCGCCCTCAGCTTATCTCGCTGTTGCTGCAGTTCTCGAATCTTAGTTCTAAGAGAACTTTCCTTTTCACGAACTGTTGGTTCTTCAGACTTTCTATCTGGTCTAGCCGTTTGAGCCTCTAGTCTTTCCAGGTGAGCTAAAACACCTAAAGAAAGTGAAAACAAACAAAAACCCCTTCATAATCAGACAAAGGTTTAATTTTGGCAAAGCATATTCCAAGAAGGAACAGTTTGCTGTGCTAAACATTGACCAAAGCAGCAACTCAGGGAGGAAAAGGCCTATTTCATTTTACAGGTTATAGAGGAGTCAGGGCAGAAGTGTAAAGCAGGAACTAAAGCAGATGGAGGAAAGATGCTTGCTGGCTTGCTCAGTTTTTTTTTTTTTTTTTTTAATACAATCTAGGACCACCTGTCCAGGGGTGACAAGAACTCAGGGCAGGAACTGAAGCAGAGACCATGGAGGAATATGCTTGTTGGCTTCCTGCTACTGCTCAGTTAGCTTTCATACACAACCCAGGGCCATCACCTGGGGTGGCTCCACCCACAATGGGCTAGGCACTCCTCCATTAATTAGCAATCAAAAAAATGCCTTAAAGAAATTGCACACAGATCAATCTGATGAGGTAATTCCTCAGCAATTGAGGGCTTCTCTTCACAGGAGCATCAAGCTGCCAACCAAAACCAGTCGTCGCAATAGATAGCTCATATATCCAGGGAAAAATCAATTTATATATATATATATATATATTTATTTATTGAGACAGGATCTTTCCTACACGACTGGCCCAGAATTCACTATGTAGATCAGGCTATCCTTGAACTCACAGAGATCACCTGCTTCTGCCCAGAGTGCTGGGATCAAAGACATTCATCATCACAACGGGCTCTGCCATAAGTTTATAAAACCATAGGCCTGAACAACCAAACCAGAGACCATCAACCTCTCTGCTGAACACTGGTGTGAAAACAACCCCTAACTGGTTACACTCATTTGAAGAGAACAAGAGACTCTTGATTTGTCTATTGCTTGCTTTGTAGGCAGCAATATTTCATCTAAGTCTGCTTATCCCAGAAGCACAAATCTAGGGTGGGAAAGGACGATTCTCTATGCTTTCCCACAACCCAGATGAAATCTCCCTAGAGAAGTCCAATGCTTCACCTCATGTAACTAGGTTCCTTAAGCAGATCCAATATTTACTTTGTAGGGTTCACAAGAATATACATTCACAAAAATCTGGTCTTCATTTGTCTTGGGACAGGCCAGACCTGGCTCATTGATCTACCCAGCCTAGGCTAGACATCAAACCACTAATGTCTATCTCCTTAAAAAAAAAAAATTTTTTTCATAAGATCAAGAGAGACCCACAATATGCAGCACCACCATCTTTCACTTGCTCTTCTTAAGGGTACTGCCTCCTGACTTCTTTTACTTCCTCGGGAGCTTTAGCATGGCAGTTATCACGTCTCTCTGCTGTATCCAGTTCCTCTCCATGTTCACACAATAGGTAAACAGTGGTAATTACTAAGCAGAGAGAGACAACCAACACGATCATAACTAAATGTTTCAATCTTTTGGATGAAAGAGATGACAAGGGAACTGGAGAATAATTGACCTGTCGAGGCCTGAAGCTTATTCAAAAATTCACTTTTTTTAGCCAGGTGACACACAGAAGGGTGAGGTGGAGGATCATGGAGAGTTCCAGGCAAACTGGGGATTACATAGTAATTTAGTTCTAGATTGCAGCATATTTTTAACAGTTAACTCACCATACTTTTAGTCTTTTAGTAACAATTTTAACCCACATGTTGCTTATTGCCTCACATTAAGTTTTTTTTAAAGGAGAAAGAAAATGAGGCAGAACTATAAATGTGTCCAATCCACAATATTTATAAAGGCAGAGCCCTGAATCAAATCCATATCTAATCACCAAAGTTATTGCCCTACAGTGGCCCTTCGTTTATAATAAAGTATGGAAAGAGAGATCTTACTGTGGTACAGGGAAGGCCAACCCCCTTTGACTACCTCCTTTCCACTCTATGCCTGGAAACAAAGTACTTGCAGACTCCATCTCCTCTTCGGGTTCTCAACTGTTTTTTCGTACGAAGCTGGATGCACAGGGCAGGTTTAACATAAACCCGAACGTCCTTAACTACAAACAGGAAAAGACAGGCAATCACTCTATTGCTATTATTGCCTGACAGTCCTGGGATAAGCAAAGCGTCCCCGCTGGCCTCCCTTGCCTTGTACTGGTCAGCCTGGTCCACGCCGTGGCCACTATGGTCCAGCCGGGATTCCTCGAACACCCAAAGAAGCTGTACAGTAACGCTAATCTGTCTACCACTGGGTCGTGCTTTCTCATCAAACCTTCGTCACTCAGGATCCAGTTTAGGAATTCCCGCCGAGCTCAACTTCAAAAACGCAATCTACTGATCCCAGCGTACTTTGCGCTTCCGCCGTACAAAAACATGGTGGCGCCCATAGCTCCTCCCTAATCCCAGCATGCATCGCAAAATACGTCCGTCCATTCTGATGATCAGGAAGATGGCAGGCTCTGGGGTGGAGCCACAGATCCTTGTACAGTACTTAGTGTTACGAAAGGATCTATCTCAGGCTCCTTTTTCCTGGCCCACGGGAGCATTGGTAGCGCAGGCATGTCACGCCGCCACAGCAGCCTTGCACCTCCATCGAGACCATCCGCACACAGCAGCTTATCTCCGGGAGCTGGGGCGCATGCGCAAGGTCGTTCTCGAGGTGAGGCGTGGGGAGGGACGCTAAAGGGATGGGGTGCAGAAGCCGGAAGTAGATCTGCTCTTGGGCCCAATCCTTAACTTCCGGAAGTTCGTGCGACTTGATTGTAGGAGGGAGTGTTTGGGGAATGGTCTGCGGCTTTGGCGCTACGCAGTGAACCTTTCCCTGGACAGAGCATGACTGTGAAGAACAGGCATAGACCCTGCTATCACAGCGTTCACCAGAAATTGGTTGTTCCAGTGTTCCTTGGAGGGTGAAGCTGTGGAAAGCATGGCCCTTTATGCCTGTGCACCAATCTCCCTTTTAAAGCTGTGCCTTAATAAATATGGTTAGTAAGAAATAGAGTCCGTTTATTTAAAAGGAGAAACGCTCAGTGAGCTGGGAAAGGGCATACGTTTTTTAGAAGCTCTGAATCTCGAGTCATAACTCATTTACATAGTACTGGCTTCTCTAGAGAGAGATCTTTACTGCAGGAAAACACTGTCAAGGGGGTGAGAATGGAGGAATAATGGCTAACGGGATCGTCGTGCCAACTTACGTGTTAACATCTGCTTTCAGCTTTCTGAGGGGTGCTTTCCCGTCTAGGTGATTACATAGCCATTGAATTAACTTTAACTTTTTTTTTTAAAGATCTACTTAAATTTTGGGTAGGTATGTGTGTCTGTGGGATATATGCACATGAGTGCAGGTGTCCTTGGAGGACAGAAGAGGATGTAGGATCTTCTGCAGTTGTAGTTATAGGCAGTGTGAACAACCCAATGTGGGTCCTGGAACCAAACTCTGGCACTCTGGAAGAGCAGTATTCTCTGGACACTGAGCCATCTCTTCAGCTCCTGGCCTAACTCTTAAAGGTTAGGAACATATTCTTTACCAGGAAGTCTTTTCCTAGATATCCTGGAATTTCAAAAAGTTGTGTTTTTATCCAGGTCAAGATCCTATTGGCCTTAGATCCTATTCTGCTGACCAAAAAGCATATAATAAGGTAGGTTAAAAAGGGTTGGTGAGATGGCTCATTGGGTAAAGGCATATGCCACCAAGCCCGACAACCTGAGTTCTATCCCTAGACTCACTTGATGGGGGGAAAAAAAAACAAATCTTACAAGTTATCCTCAGTGTGCATGCATAATACAACATTCTAGTTTGCTTTTTGTTGCTGAGATAAATACCATGGCCAAAAAATCAACTTGGGGAGGAAAGGGTTTATTACACCTTACAGGTTACATCTGTCATCTAGAGAAGTCAAAGCAGGAACTCAAGGCAGGATCTTGAAGCAGACACCACAGAGGAACACTGTTTACTGACTCCCCTGACTTTCTCAGCTACCTGACTTTTACAATTCAGGCCCCTTGCCTAGGGATGGTACTGCCCACAGTGGACTGAGCCAGCCCTCTTACATCAAGTAGTTGAGAGATGTGTCCTGCATCAACATAGGCTTGGGGCTGAGGGGATAAGAGAGGGAGAAGGAAAGTAAGTATATGAAATTTCAGAAAAACTTCCAGTGGTCAGCTGAGTCACAGAGGGCTGAATGATAAGGGTGAGCCGCAGTAGGCACCAACCATAAGGAAACTAGAAACTATACAGCAGACTTCAGTATGAAAAAGAAAGTTGCATTTTATTAACAGGCTATCAAGCCTCCTCCTCAGCCCTTCTAGCCACTTCTCTAAGATCCTAAAGATAGGAAATAGCAAACCACTGGACAAAACTGTTGCTATGCATTCTTTGGTGGAGCCACAGCTCCAGTTTCAGAGCCCCTCCCCCCACTTGTGACCCTCTGACACTCCCTAAACGGGTCATTCCATCTGTATTGTGTCTTCTGCAACTTGTAGGCTGCTGATGAGGCCACCTTGAAGGAGCTGGCTGAGACCCTGCAGCAGAAGAGCATTGACCACACGCTGTGGCTCGAGCAGCCTGAGAACATTGCCACGTGCATTGCCCTGAGGCCGTACCCCAAGGAAGAAGTGAGCCAGTATTTGAAGAAGTTCCGGTTGTTCAAGTGACTAACGTTCTGGGAGAACTGAATGTCATCTGGTCTGGGGAGCCACATGGCCTCATCCTGAAGCATTGTGGATTCCTTTCAATGTTGACGTACTCATCCCTTCTAGTTATGGTGGTTTCTTACGAACCAGCACAAATTCAAATTAAAGCCCTCATTAATCAGCACCTGCTACCATCATCATTGTTGTCATTACCACCAAGTTCAAGTGAGGAGAGTGGATAAGCATCAGTATTATCTGTGGGTCATTGCTGAAGCGCGGAATGTTTTTTGTTAGGAATAATGGACTTCTAGTCACTCAGGTTTAAAATGCTGCCTTTGAGTTCCTTCTACCCCTCCCAGCTCCCCATTCTCTCTCCTTTCCCTGCTGTCCCATCACTCTGGGCTCTAGTGCCGTAATAGAATGTTCCTATTCTTCCCCTCTTTCCTGACACTCAACTTTACTTAACACATCACCTTCACAAAGTCTTACCAGCCAAGAATTATCCCCTTCTCTAAACTCTGTTACATGACAGTTCAAAAATATTTCTGTAGACATATGCATGTGACAACAGAAATTGATTGAACATTTGTGAAGCAAAGTTTATTATAAAGTGCGGGGCTTTTCTCTGCCTCCCTTGTTCCTGAGTAATGACACGGAGACATGGTGTATTTATTAAAATGCTTCTTGCACTATAGCTGGGCAGGGTTCAAATCTATTCTAACCCGACTATGTTGATCTGCCCTACTACCCCATGACATGCTCAGTTACCTGCCATCTCAGCCTCACCCTGGCTGCTCCATCTGTCTTCCCATAGTGGACTCTCTCTGGTTCCCATGAGAGACCCTTTCACTGGGATCAGAAGCCCCACCTCCTCCTCTCCTGCCCTGCTATTGGCTGATGAGCTCTTTATTATCCAATCAGTGGAAAATAATTTTTACACAGCACTGAGACAGGAGATGCTTGACAATGCCAGTGTTGGGACTGCATCCAGATCTCTGGCTCAGAAATCAGCACATGAATCCACACACTGCACAAATCCATCCCATAACAGTTTATGTGGAGTAATTTTTTTCAGTAGAAAGAATTATATGAAAGATGAAAGCTAGAAGTAGTGGCTTATGGACTTGAGAAGTGGCCCTGCACTTGGGAAGCTGAGGCAGGGGGAAAGTCTTGGGTTCAAAGCTGGTCTGTGGTGTTAAGCAAGAGCCTGTCTCAAAAAAAAAAAAAAAGCTGAAAATATTAAGATGAGTGTATTGGGGGCTGGTGAGATGGCTCAGCGGTTGAGAGCACTGACTATTCTTCTGAAGGTCATGAGTTCGGATCCCAGCAACCACATGGTGGCTCACAGCCACCTATAATGAGATCTGATTCCCTCTTAGGGTGTCTGAAGACAGCAACAGTGTATTTACATATAATAAATAAGTAAAAACCTTTGGGCTGGAGCGAGTGGGGCAGGAGCGAGCGGGGTGGAGTGAGCGAGGGTGGGGGTTGGGGGGGAAGATGAGTGTATTGATCAACTCCTTACTCCTATAATGAAACACATGTGATAATTGACTTACAAAGAGAAAATCTTTGCTTTGACTCACTGTTTTAGAGGTTCCAGAAGACAAATCAGACTTCCGGATGGCAATGGTGAGCACTGTGGTGAAGCCTACCTCTCATCTTATAGCCAGGAAACAGAAAAAGAACACAGAAGAGGCTGGTGCCCCAGAATTCCTTCAAGGGCATGTTCTCAGCTACCTAAAGACTTCCCTCTAGGCCTTGTCTCCTAAAGGCTGTACTGACTTCTATCAGGGCACTCTAGGGAGCAAGCACTTAACTTGTGAGCCTCTGAGGCACATTTACCTGAGTGGGTAGAGAGCTCCAGAAGAACTGGTGGAGTGCTGAGGACAGCACCAAGCCCAGAGAGCCAAATGAAGGTCAGGGTAAAAAAGCAACAACAGCACAGGATTTCAGTAAATAACTGAAAAGGCTTTAGCAGTTGGGAGTGCACTGCAGACTCAGCGAGAGCAGTTAAAAGAGCATAAGGATGAAAAATCAGATTATAGTTTATTGGGACAAGAATGGGAGGAGAACACTGGAGACTATTTCAGGAAATTCAGAAGGAAGAGAAGGTAATGATTGAAGGGAAGCTGGAAAGGTGAATTCTTTTTTTTTGTTTGTTTTTGTTTTTTGTTTTTTGTTTTTTTTGAGACAGGGTTTCTCTGTGTATCCTTGGCTGTCCTGGAACTCACTCTGTAGACCAGGCTGGCCTTGAACTCAGAAATCCACCTTCCTCTGCCTCTCAAGTGCTAGGATTAAAGGCGTGCGCCACCACTGCCCAGCGGGAAAGGTGAATTCTAGGTCACGGCAATGGCTTGTTAATAAGTGCCTGTTGTAGTTTTCCTCAACCCAGCTAGCTCTCAAATACCTGAGGTTGGACTATTATATTTATTTAATAAATTTTAAGGGCACAACAACAGAGCAGTATTACTCTATTTTCATCTTCTAAAATAGTCTGGCTATTTTCCAGCCAAAATCCCTGAGATACTTGCTTTTTATGGCTTTCTCTACTTCAGCTGCTTTTCCCATGGTGTCTCCTGGACTCTTTCCCTGTGGCTAATCTCCACTTCCTCGGTCTCTCTTGCCCCCTCTGCTGGCTAGGAGGGAAGTCCTGCTCTATTCTCTCCTCTGCTCAGTCATTGGCTGATCAGCTTTTATTGACAGATTAGAGCCTAAATGGGGAGCAATGTTTACACAACATTGAGGCAGGAGATACTTAGAATAAGGTTTGCAACCAGATACGGGGGCACAGAAATCAGCATCTGAATTACACAGTGAACAATAGCATGCCTACAAGGACCTGTATGGGAAACTGTTTTAAATGTTTGAGCAAGATAATGGGTAAGGAAACACAGTGGTTTACAACCAGCCCCAGAGACTCTTCACACCTCCTTCTGGCCTCCATGGGCACAGCACACACTTGGTGCACAGACATATATGTAGGCAAATACATACACATGATGAATTAATAAGCTTTTAATTTAATTATTTATTTTGTATGTATGTGTATTGTTTGCACGTTTGTCTGTGCACCATGTGTATACCTTGTGCCCACAGAAGCCAGAAGGGGGCTTTTGATCCCCTGGGATTACAGGTGTTTGTGAGCTACCATGTGGATATTGAGAATCAAACCCAAGTTTTCTGGAAGAGCAGCCAGTGCTTTTAACCACTGAGCTATCTCTCCAATCCCCTTCTTTTTCTTATCTCATTGCATTGGCTAGGACCTCTCGGCCTATAGCAGTGGTGTTAACAGGAACCCATTGTTTGCTAGCATTTTAACAGGAATGCTTTTAGATTTTTACTGAATCAGATTAAAGAGATTCTTTTTTGGTCACATTTTCTAAAATTAAATTAACATAAAAAGATTAAAAAAAAAAAACCAAATACCTTTTTTCACCTATGGAGGCAACTGTATGGCTTTTCTCTGCTGTCACTGTGGTGAATTACACTGATAGATTCCAAATATCAAATAGTCTTTATTCTTGCAATAAACTCCCCAGGAGGGGATAGCATAGTTGCAAACCTGGCTTGGAGTCATGTTACGGTCTCTTTAAAGACTGTTTCTTCATGAGTTCCTGTCTGTATCTTCAACCGCACTTCTCTCCTAAGTTTCAGGCCCATAGTTATCCAGCTGTTGATCTGAGTTCACTTGGATGCCTGATGGGAATCTTACACATACGACAGGCAGTGAAGTAAGTATGTGTTTCTTCCCCACCTCTGTCAAGGGCCATTCCATCCTTCCAGTTGTTCAAGCCCAACATCTGGGATTCACTTTTATTCTCTTTTCCCTCATACCTTGCATCTGAGATTCCAGCAGATAACTCTGCCTGTGGCTCAGGACCATATCCAGAATCTGATCATGGTTGGCTCAGTTTATCATCTCTTGCTGCTGCAGCAACTCCCAGCAGGTCTCCTTGCTTTTGCATTTGCTTTCTTTGCAGCTTTTTTCAACTTAAAAGTACCTTAATACTAGCTTAGTTAGGGTTTCTATAGCAACGTGGGAATTAAAAGGGTTATTTCAGCTTAAAGTTGTACTTCATGGTCTGTTATGGAAGGAAGTCAGGGCAGGAACCTGGAGGCAGGAGCTGATGCAGAGGTCATGGAGGGGTGCTGCTTACTGGCTTACCCCTATAGCTTGCTCAGCCTTTCTTTCTTTCTTTCTTTCTTTCTTTCTTTCTTTCTTTCTTTCTTTCTTTCTTTCTTTCTTTCTTTCTTTCTTTTGGTTTTTCAAGACAGGGTTTCTCTGTGTAGCCCTGGCTGTCCTGGAACTCACTCTGTAGACCAGGCTGGCCTTGAACTCAGAAATCTGCCTGCCTCTGCCTCCCAAGTGCTAAGATTAAAGGCGTGTGCCACCACCGCCCGGCTCAGCCTGCCTTCTTATCCCACCCAGTTCTACCTGCCCAATCATCAAGCAAAGCAATACCCTATAGACTTGCCTACAGGCTCATTAGGCCTTTTCTCAATTAAAATTCCTTCTTCTAGATATGTCTAGGTTTCTGTCAAGCTGATAAAAAACAACCAGCACAATACCCACATCCGAGGCTGCAGAACCTCTGACCCTTTGCTTCCTGTTCTCTTGCTCTCCAGCATACTAGAACGCTGCACCTCTGGCTCTTCTCCGTAACACTTTCCTCACTGTCTCATCTCCTCCAGCTTGTCACTCAAACATCACCTCTCCTGAAGGCCTGTCCTGGTTTCCCATTTTAAATGGTGGCTCCTCTCTTTCAGAGTTTCTGCCTACCCCCTCCTTACTTAAACTTTCCCTCCAGCACTTGCCATCTGATACTTGTATTTGACTAATTTGTCTAACATGGTCTCTGAGGGCAGGGATTTTATTGTATCCCAGTGTCCAAAGTTGTACAGGTAAATGATGGGTATCTGGTTAATATTCCCTATCACGGGTACACAGTCACTTATGGTGAAGTGTATGCATAGTGCGTGTATGATGTGCATGCCACCTGCACAGTACAGGACAGCTTTGTGGAGTCAGTGTCTTTCATCTACTTGTAGGCATACAGGTTTTGTACACTGTGTAAAGGATATATCCTTGTGTTACTCAAATGCTGGTTTCTCTGCCCTCATATCTTCTTTCAATCAGGACATGGCATTGTAATGCTTATGCCAAGAGTCTCCTGTCTCAGG